AATAAATCAGGTGGGAAAGTAGGGTCATTTTCTCATAGACTTCTAAAGATTGAACTTCTTTCTGCAACCACCGACGTCGCCATCTGCTGGCCATTATATGGAATGCAAATTTTGGAGATTTCCGCATTGGCCTCCGTTTCCAGACCCGAGTGCTGCGTCCATCTTTTTTATACAGTCTATGCGCAGGCTGCGTCCAAATAGTCAAAAAATTACGAGCTATCCTCTAATCCCTAATCACTTTTCTTTAACCTTTGTGGAAAACGCCATAAGGTAAAAGAAAGGCGTAAAACGGAATTCCTAACTGCTTAGGAAGACAACCGCGCAAATTAGAGAATCCGAATGCATTTACACTAAGCAACGTGATCAAGTGTTCCCTGCCCATCACACATACGTTTCTGTACGTTATTGGACAGTAAAGGTGACTTATTGTCATATGAGCAGTTAATGAATATACACTGTTTCCCTTTACAGTTCAAAGTCTTTCGGTTAAGGCTCCAAGACTCTGGAACAGCCTCCCAAACAATATTAGAAATGCTGAGTCTTTATCGTCTTTTAAATCTCTTTTAAAGACTCATTATTTTAAGCTTGCTTTTGCTGATTTTACGGTTTAAATTCTTTTATTGTATGGGTGTGTTTTCATGTATGTCTCCTTTTATCATCTTGATTCTTCCTATTTTGATGTTTAATTCCCTACTTTTCCCATTTTGTTTTATTGCCTTTATGTACATGTATTTTTACCTGCTTGTGAAGCACTTTGTGCTGTATTGCTTGAAAGGTGCTATATAAATAAATTTATTATTATAAAGAATTTAAGTCAATTACTAATGCCATTCCTTCTGGTTTGCGACAACTGCATAACAATCATCTTCGTTTTAACGTGGGTAATAAGGCACCGCCTACTTTGTCACTGAACGGTATTCCATTAAACGATAAAAGACGTAATAATAAACATATACGAATCATGCCACAAGAGAAGACTACGATCACCCCTAGAGGGAAGTTCTTTTGGGATACCATTATAGGATCTAATAACTGGCGTAGAACTTGGTTAATTCCCTTCAAGTACTGTTATCAGTAACAAAGTGAAGGAAGTGCACTTTAAAATCTTGCACACAACCCGGTTAATTTTTTGGTCTCTAAATATTCAGACACTGTAGACATTTTGTAAGAGTGATAGTGAAACCTTGACACATATCTTTCACAATTGCCCTTTGACCTTTGGGTTGTAGGTGGATATTGTGAGGTATCTTTTTTCTGAGAAATTCTCGACCTACAAATGTCATTGAGAGATGTTATTGTGGGCTATAGTAATATTAAAGACCCCAGTCTGGAATATATATGTAATCTTGTTATATTGATGGGCAAGTTCTATATACATAAAGTAAAATTCTCTGCAGCCTCCCCTTCTGTCCAGCAATTCAGAGCAGAGTTTGAGCTATTCATTGAGACTTCTAAACATTTGGAAAATAAAAAAGCATTAGTATTGATGAAACATTGTAATACTGTTTTATCACCTCCCCAACAAAATGACTGAGTTGCCTCTTTTCTTTTGTAGGCCTTTTTTTCCCCTTTTTCTTCTCCACTTTGTGTCTTTTTATGTTTTTTTTTATATTTCCATTTCCATATATCCCTATTTGTATCTGAATCGTTGGTTCTTTTCTTGTATATTTGTTACTTGGTTCAATAAAGCATTAAAAAAAAAAAAAAAAAACAAAAAAAAAAAACATACGTTGCTGTGCGCGTGAATGGATGAATAAATGGTCGCCGCTTTAAATATTGCAGCTGCGAAGAATTGAGGGATCGCGTTATCTCCTTTCTTTACGAAAAGGATGGTTCTGTGTTCCCTATGCTAAAGGTGGTAAATTAGGAAGCAGAGAGACACCTTTCCTTAACATTTCAAGAATTCGAATATACTTATCATGGCTGCCACGTAATTATTTCCGGATCATTTTTTAGCAGTTAGGAATCTTCCAAGGCAAAAAAAACAATTCGGAAGCAGCGATTAGTCTTTTCAGCCAAGGAAACTTCCGAACTCCTAAAAAATGATCCGGAAATAACTATGCGGCAGCCATGATAAGTGCATTCCAATTCTTTAAATGTTAAGGAAAGGTGTCTCAGTGCTTCTAATTTACCTCCTTTAGCACAGGGTACACAGGACCATCCTTTTCGAAAAGACAGGAGATAACGCTATCCCACAATTCAGCGCAGTAGCAATATTTAAAGCGACGACCATTCATCCGGCCATTACCGGCCATTCGCGAAAAAGAAACGTGTGTGACGGGCAGGGGACACATAATCACGTTGCCTAGTGTAAGTACAGCGCATTTTTCCAAGCCGTTAGGAATTCTCTTTTACACTTTCCCTTTACCTTATGACGTTTCCCACAAAGGTGAAAGAAAGGTGGTCCAGAATTAGTAGAAAGGACGTAATTTTTCTACTATTGGGACGCAGCCCACGACTAACTCCCCCCTCCCCCCAGCATGGGTCATATTTGTGGCAGTTAACTTGCTTCTTCAGTTTGCAGAGCAGGGGGTTTAAGGCCCAAACAGGGCCCGTGCTTGTGTTTTCTTCCCTGGATAACTGCCCAGAAATGTTGGGAAACATCTGAGTTTTGGCCAGATGTCTTCTCAGCAAAAAAAAGAAAAAAAAAGAAAAAGAAAAATGCAAGCGAAATCAGCTATGTCTTCTGACCTAACCACATCATAAATTCAGAAAAGAATACAGATTGGGAGGATTTATGGCGACACATTGAAAGTTTGCCTCATATCTCAGGACACATTTCCCAAACACACCGGTGCACTATACACTGAGCTCTCTTCGGAAGTCTCCAGAAATGTAATGCATTTCAATTTGTGAATCTCGCTCACACAGAATTCTGCTGTATGTGACCAGTGTACACTATTCTATCCCATAAGGCTACTGGCACAGAGACAACGAGCCATTTTCATCTTGACAGAGACAGCAAGGGCTCTCTGGCGAGCAGGATGCATGAAATAGATACTATATACACACTGTACCTACTACATCGGCGGCTGTGTAGTAGGTAGTTAAGCAAACATTAGTAGCATGAGTATTCGAACACGGCCTTGGGGGGTCAAATTGACCAGCCTCTACACTGCCATTCAATTACTCAATCGTTTGAAGTTCCTATTGGTTTACCTGAGCATACAGACATTCACTTCAGGTATAAAGAGAACTTTCCCTATATTTCAGCTAAAATCGAAGACCCATTCGGCAAAATCCTCTACAAGACCCTCTTTTTACAGTTAATTTGACACAGCAGGTCAAGCAGTCCTGTGAACAAATCAAAATGTGAATATTATGTGAATATTAAAGAACAAGATGTAAAGACATTTAAAGAGGGAGCAACCGCTATTGCCTTCTCACAACCCAAACCGTACCATCGTTTGTCTGTCTCCACCCCCAGCCATCGTTTGTCTGTCTCCACCCCCAGCCATCGTTTGTCTGTCTCCACCACCAGTCATCGTTTGTCTGTCTCCACCCCCAGCCATCGTTCGTCTGTCTCCACCCCCAGCCATCGCTCGTCTGTCTCCACCCCCAGCCATCGTTCATTTGTCTCCACCCCCAGCCATCGTTTGTCTGTCTCCACCCCCAGCCGTCCTTTCTCTGTCTCCACCCCCACCCATCGTTTGTCTGTCTCCACCCCCAGCCATCGTTCGTCTGTCTCCACCCCCAGCCATCGTTCGTCTGTCTCCACCCCCAGCCATCGTTTGTCTGTCTCCACCCCCAGCCATCGTTCATTTGTCTCCACCCCCAGCCATCGTTCGTCCGTCTCCACCCCAGCCATCGTTCATTTGTCTCCACCCCCAGCCATCGATTGTCCGTCTCCATCCCCAGCCATCGTTCGTCTGTCTCCACCCCCAGCCATCGTTCGTCTGTCTCCACCCCCAGCCATCTGTCTCCACCCCCAGCCATCGTTTGTCTGTCTCCACCCCCAGCCATCGTTCGTCTGTCTCCACCCCCAGCCATCGTTCATTTGTCTCCACCCCCAGCCATCGATTGTCCATCTCCATCCCCAGCCATCGTTCGTCTGTCTCCACCCCCAGCCATCGTTTGTCCGTCTCCATCCCCAGCCATCGTTCATTTGTCTCCACCCCCAGCCATCGTTCGTCTGTCTCCACCCCCAGCCATCGTTTGTCTGTCTCCACCCCCAGCCATCGTTCATTTGTCTCCACCCCCAGCCATCGTTTGTCCGTCTCCACCCCCAGCCATCGTTCGTCTGTCTCCACCCCCAGCCATCGTTTGCCCGTCTCCACCCCCAGCCATCGTTTGTCTGTCTCCACCCCCAGCGACTCTTCCTCATTGCGTAGGGTTGCCTTTCAGTGATAACCGTCGCCAGGGTCTTACCTGGCATCCGAAGCGAAGTAGTACTCCACCGCTTTGCCTGCGCTGACAGAGTGGAGAGCACTGGTGCTGTCCACTCGGTTCCGGAAGTTTCTCTCCTCAACCCCATCGTTGTAGTGACCTGAGGAGATGAACGAGTGGGCATAGGTCAGTTTCTCACAATTTAGGTTTAAAATAGATTAAACCTGCGATTTACATGCACCTATAGTCACGTAACCACCAGGAGAAACGCAAGACCGAATGTACACGCGGGGAATGGATCAAAGCGCTGAAATAAATTAATTAAAAAAAATATATATTTAAGAACGGCTTTGACGTTGCTGTTATGAAGTCTAATCTTAGTCCATTGACCACATTGCCTACACTTCCAGATCGACTGAAGTCCTGCAAATGCGGCACAAGCTTTAGCAAACCTGGCTCGGATGCCCTGCCTCGCGCCATTATCTTTGCTGATAAGGGTATCCAAGTATGTGAAGTCCGCCCCATAATGAAGTGGATCACTGTTAACGGCGATGGGTGCAGGGTTGATGATGTTTATGCACATGACTTTGCTCTTGAAGGTTAAGACCTGTCTGTTATGCATTGACATTAAGCCTATCAGTTGTTGTTTGTGCATTACATTAAAACAACCCCTCTGGCAGTGGTGGGATTCAAACCCTCGGCCCCAAAGAGACAGGAGCCTTAACCCAGCACCTTAAACCGCTCAGCCTCGCTACCACACTCCAGCCCACAGAACAACACTGGCCTATCTGCTGCTGCGAACAGTAGATAATCTCATAGCTGTTTGTGTGCAGAATAGCAGCACACAAACTCACTCCCACCAGCTGTCTCTGTGGCGCAATCGGTTAGCGCGTTCGGCTGTTAACCGAAAGGTTGGTGGTTCGAGCCCACCCAGGGACGCAGCAGTGTTCTTTTAATCATTAAACCTCATAAAGCACAACATACAACGGGTGTGTGTATCCCAGCAACAGCAAATTTAAGTTTTCAGCTCTGCTGTCCCTCATCTTAAGATTAAAGCAACCTCCACTGATGATCCGTTTAATTAAAAGCAGACGGTTCACTTACTAATGTCATGAGAGCGAACAGCGCAGAGCTAAAGAGGTTTGCAAATTCAAAGGTGGAATTATGAAGCAGGACACTGAACTGTTCCTGCTTTTTTCATCGTGAAAGGTCAAGTATTTTCTTGCAGTTGCTGAAGCAGGCCTCAAGATTCGCAGCGGACGATCAGACAGTTCTGTTACTCTTATATAAGCCTGAGTAGATGGACTGACCAGTTTAAAGCTTTGCATTTTTACTGAATATTAAGCTTTGTTTAACAGTAGTAGACTTTCTCTGCATATGTCTCTTGACTATTCATTTATTCAAGCCTGACGCAATCAGGAGTCGTGTTTCCATCCACCCATTTTAATGTGGATTGTGAATTTGAGCTTCAAAAAACCTGAGTGGAAACGCCCAAAATGTGCACCAACTCGAAAAATCGCATTCATATTTTTTCGTGCAAGAAGGAGGTGGAAAATTTGCCGCATCAATGAGAAAAACACTCTTTAGTGCAGGGGAAACGGGTCAGTGAACAAGTTAAGCGAATAAATGATGATGTTTAGTAACTACATCATCTTTGCTCTTAACATGGCCAAGCAAGCAGACATGACTGTTTTTATAACTCTTCCACGACCACAGATCTGGAATATTATTTGCTCAAAAGTTTCCATTCTCTTCTCTTTCACCACTTTCTTTCGTTTTTGCCACCAGCTTTCCCATTTGTTTTCCTTTTTTCGTTTGTTGCGCTTATTGATGTCATCGCCTGCGCCTTCTTCCGCAGAGGCAATGGCAACTGACTCGAGAATTAGCGCCACCTGATGGCACCTACGGCTTATCTTGTGAAACAAATGCACATTTCCTTTTGCCGCATTTACGAAAATTTGCTTAAGATTTGCGATACAGTCGGACGGAAACACAGCCAGTAATGTCCCATAGAGTTTGCTCTGGGAGATGACAGGTCTGTGAATTCAAATTTTATGCAGAAATCAGCATGTGCTTCGAAGATAAGCTTAAGAATGAAAAAAGGGATTGCAGTACCTATCTTAAGGATCCCATTTTATGAAAATCGCATTTTCCCCCGGCCGTTAAACATATAATACGGCCCTGGCTCTGCTTCACACCTGACAAAACATAAAGCCAGTCTCAGAGCTGATGCTGCAGCGCCATTTCTGAGAAACCATGCGCTCGGATGGCCTGTTTTGATTCAGTACCCCTATCAATGTCACAAGAGGAGTCATTTGCATAGTGCAGCCCCATAGAGACAGATTTTGGTTTCAGCTGCCATTTCTTCACTGGGATGAGGCAGCAAATCATTTTCATTGGTTCACAGCCCACAACAAAGCACTGCACAGTTTGTGAGGGGAGAGAATCTCAAAGATGTGCAGGATTCATTAAAAACTTATAATTAGATCACTCGGTTCCATTACCCGACAGTAGTCATACGCTCCTGCAAAACAATGAATTTAGAGAGAAAATGGTTTGGCACCACAAGTTAAAACATTAGCCCATAATGTACAGATTTATTACCATATTACTGGCTGGCCTTGAATGATTTTTTAGAATGATCATTTTTTTGAAACTCCTTCACTTTGCAAAACTTCTTGGAGGAATTTTTTTTTTAAAATAAAAAGTTCAGGCCTTTTTCAGCGTCAGTGGACGGGGCAGTATTGAAGAGACACGAAGTCCAGACAGCGAGATGGAGAAAGAGATATGCGCCTAAGGTCGAGCAGCCAAATTCAAGCTATGAGGTCACTACTCGGAGCGGAGAGCGCGCCACAGGCAATGCCATTCCCCCTTTAACAGTGACACATAGAGAGAGTCACAGCTCTGTCGTCATTTTGAAAAAGGCTTTGTTAGTATTTTTCCACTTTTAGTTCCAACCCTCTGATTTCTATGCAAAGCATGAATGGGGCTTTCAAAAATTGACGCAAATAAGGACCCTGAGTGAAACGGTCGCTCGAGATGGTAAATGTTTTGTTTAATGAGATAATATACGCATTTTCTGACAACCACCTGAAAATGAAACGCTCCGTGTCCATGAAATGCGAATGTCGCTAACAATGTGCGATCGTGACAAATAACTGATCTATAAGCATGTAGGACATTTGAACAAGCTGATGACTGGAGACCACTGGGTAATGTAGTTCCATATTACTTCAACGTTAGCATGTCGATAGCAACATTCACCTTTCAGGGTCTCAAAGTGTTTCATTTTTGAAAAGGTAGAATATTCCACCACATCATTATCATCAATAAAACGCGTTGATTTCATCAAAGACCTTATTTCCGAAAGCCCCATTCATTTTTCCCATCAACACAGGACCGTTGAACCCCGAACTAAAATAATGCCAACAGTGCCACTTGCAAATTCATGTCACTCTGTGACTCTCTGTTGTGATGGGAATTTGGAGGGGGGGGCGGACGGCTTTGACCGAGACTTACCGTTATTGTACAGGATGGGGATTTGTTCTGTAGAGAGCTCATATTTGCTCCTCACACCAATTAGCAATGGACTCCCTCTTCTGTCAAACAGAGAAAGAGACAACACCGTAAAACACGGCTCTCGTATACAACTCCTCTGCTGGCGCACCCGTGAGTCGGCGTGTTCAAGGTTCCTCGACTGCCACCCACGCGCAGAGAAACAGCATTGCAAAGTCTAGAACACCAAGGACACCAGGGCAATACTAGACAATACAGTGCAATGCAATGCCATACAATAACACAGAAAGTCATCACAAGGACATCCATGTTTGCGTGTATGTGTGTGTGTACGTGTGTGTTCTTGTACTTGCTATGCAGTGAGGACTGGAAAATGTTTTTTCCTCCAGAATGGGGACATCATTGAGAAGTGAGGACATTTTTGTCGGTCCCCACACCTACAAAGGCAAGGTGTGACTTATTAGTTAAGGTTAGGGGTGAAGTTAGAATAAGGGATGGGTTAAGGGGTTGGATTAAGGTTAGGATAAGGGTTTGGTCTGGGGTTAGAATTAGGAATGGGTTAAGGTTAGTGTTAAGGTTAGGGTAAGGGTTTGGGTAAGGTTAGAATTAGGGATAGGTTAAGGCTAGGGTAAGGGTTTGGGTTAAGGTTAGAATTAGGGATGGGTAAAGGTTAGGGTTAAGACTTTGGGTTAAGGTTAGGGTAAGGGTTTGAGTTAAGGTTAGGGTAAGGGATTGGTTAAGAATAGGGTAAGAGTTTGGGGAAGGTTAGGGTAAGGGTTTGGGTTAAGGTAAATGTTTGGGTTAAGGTTAGGGTAAGGGATTGGTTAAGGTTAGGGTAAGGGTTTGGGTTAAGGTTAGAATTAGGGATGGGTAAAGGTTAGGGTTACGACTTTTTTGTTAAGGTTAGGGTAAGGGTTTGGGTTAAGGTTAGGGTAAGGGATAGGTTAAGGTTAGGGTAAGGGTTTGGGGTAAAGTTAGAATAAGGGATAGGGTAAGGGTTTGGGGTAAGGTTAGGGTAAGGATTTGGGTTAAGGTTAGAATAAGGGATAGGGTAAGGGTTTGGGGTAAGGTTAGGGTAAGGGTTTGGGTTAAGGTTAGGGTAAGGGATTGGTTAAGGCTAGGGTAAGGGTTTGGGGTAAGGTTAGAAGAAGGGATAGGGTAAGGGTTTGGGGTAAGGTTAGGGTAAGGGTTTGGGTTAAGGTTAGGGTAAGGGATTGGTTAAGGTTAGGGTAAGGGTTTGGGGTGGGCATGCGTTGCTTATTCTTAAGATTAGGGAAAGGCTGTAGAGACACAGAAAGAATGAATGGTCGTCAATGTAATGTCCTCACAGGTATAGAAGTACAAGGACATGTGTGCGTGTGTGAGTGTGTGTGCGTGCGTGCGAGCACGTCCGAGCATGTGAATGAAACGATTAAAATGCTTCGCCACCTTCCAGGAAAACTGTAAACAGCCAACCACACTGCATCTCCAGACACTTCAGACAGACCACATCCCGTCACCCACACACTGTCTGCACCCCATACCAGTCCGCAGCTCAGTCCTGCCCGCGCCGTTTGGGTCAGTTCCAACACAAAGCTATTCTGGGAGCCATTTTTGACAATTACACGCCAAAATGTGGTGTATTGCAAAACACAGGCCTGCGGGTGGGGTCGAAAGAACACACCTACAAACACAGACAAACGTAAACACAGACAGACTCATTCTCTCCCAGAACCTACTCAGAAAAGGACCACTGACCGCTCAGCAGGCCGAGGATGAAGAAATAAAACGACCAGGAGTGACAAGGAAAAGCAAGCAAGACCGCAGAGAACGAATGCCAAACGAAACAGTAGGCCAACTATTTCAAGTTCACACTAGGAGATGTAAGGTGTAAGCATTTCAATCTGTTTATATCGCGCTCATCCTTGAGAAGTTTATTGAAAGTTTTACCAAAAAACTATCTTTATTGATCGTAGAGCCTATTCGTAGCATCAGTTTGTCATAGTTTGGCTTTTTGTGGCGTTATTATTGCTTTTAAATCAGCCTACATTGATTGTTATGTCGTCCCATGGTGGCCGTCGAACTGGAAGCGGTCGCAAAAGGATCTATGACAGCTGTATGTCAGACAAAACGTTGCGACAAACAGGTTCTGCAAACATTAAAGACAGTTGCTTGATAAAAAATTTCCCCAAACTTCTCAAAGTTGCACGCGATGAAACTCCACCACGAATTCACTGGTTTACCTTACCTCACACTTTCAA